GTTGATTCAAGTTTGGAGCTGTGAGCTCCCTCAACGTTCTTGTTTCAAGAGCCATAGTTATTGGTTCTTCAGGCTCGCTAGAATAAGAGCTAGTACTTGATGAATCTCCCGAGTCGGTATTTGAGAATTTATTTTTCAACCGCTCGAAAGTTTGCTCTATTTCGGGGTTTGATTGGTATGTGATTTCGTTTATAGAACGATATCGGACCATATACTTCACAAAGCTCAGAAATAGAAAAATAAGAACTCTTTATATTTTTGGTTAATTATTTTTTTTGATTTTTCTTGAAATAAAATAAAAAGAAAAATAATTGCCTCTCCCCGGCAACGGCGCCAAATTTGACGTGCACTTTGTCGTGAGGTGCACTCAAAGTAATAATACAATACGACACTAATACGAAGTATAGTGTAGTAAGGTTCGTATCCACAGGGAAAGGAATACTTTTCTTCTTACAGAAATAGATAAGTAACAATAAGGGGGGTTTATATTTGATTGATGAACTTTAAATTATATTTAAATACGAAGATGAACGATTTATATGGTTTAATTAATGAGAAGAAGACTTGGCTTTGCTTTTATCCACTTAATGAAATGTTCGTCGATCCCGGTTATATCTTTAACTATCTTCCTCTCGAATACTCAATCGAGGAGTATATCCAATTCATCGAGGGTAGTTATTAATAACGAGACGCGTTCATTAATAAAACTTACTACCGAGTTAATATAGAACACGCGCCGTATATTCACTCGATAGTAGCAATAAAATCAAGATGAAAACGATTGAGATTGATAACCTCAACACAAGCGGTTTATTGGTTTAATCAATATAATTAATTCCCCTTGGTTTATTAACCATGAAACGCATGCATTAATAACCCAAGTTTACTACCGCGAAAGGACCGAATTAATAACAAGCGTATTAATCGACCGATTCTAGTAATAATTAATATATGAAACAAAACTAGTTGATCCTTTAAGTAATGTTCAAAATATTAATATGAAATATGAATAGGAATTAATTAATACTCAAGGAAGAATAATAAAGAAGATGAATCCTACTATAGTTAATATCAAGATGTTAACTAATTGTCATCTTAGTAACACTCCCCGATATTAACGTAGAGGAAGAAATAACTATTACTATAACTAATGTCAAGATGGTAACTAATTGTCATCTTAGTAACACTCCCCAACATTGATATAGAAATAGTATTTAAAGAAAGAATTAATATTCAAGGAAGAAGATTAAAGATAATAACTCACAACTTACAAATTCATTAAGCTTCAAAGTAGCAAAACCAAGATGGAAGAGTTTAGCTCCTCATTTGGAGACTAAACATGATGAAAAATATAAAGAAAGAACTTGTCTAAACTGAGCTAAGAAGTATATGTGAATTGGTATCTTCTTGTGGAGGAAATGGGGTGTATTTATAGGCTTTTTAGGCTTGCAGGGTCGTGTACCCGATCGGGTTTTCAGCCCACTCGATCGGGTACCATATGTGGCTTCGGCGAAGCTGAAAAATGGGGTCATACCCGATCGGGTCTGTCGGTCACCCGATCGGGTATGGACACCCGAACGTGTTAAAATCTTCCCGCATGATGCCTTGTTCCCGGATTTGATTTGATTCGAAATTTCAGAAGGGTACCCGACCGGGTATAGGTCATACCCGATCGGGTACAGACCAAAAACGAGATCTTCAATCTTTTTCTTGCATTCTTGCACCTTCCTTCCACTGGTGATGTTCTCCAAAGTGTATTTGGACCTGTTTGAGCTCAGAATAAACCTAATCTAAACATATTACAGATATTTTACAAACTAAACTATTTACACCAAAAGTGTGTAATTTCCAAAGTAACAATCACTCGAAACTAATTAAAAGTACAACTTTAAATACGGAAATTACACGAATGTCAGTGATATAGCACAAATGACATTTCTAAATTATAATTTACCGGTTAAAGCTAATGTATACCATTTATTAAAATAGTTATGTCACATAAGATTCATTTATTAACCTCAATACATCTTACTTAAACCTTTTATTAACTACTTATAAAACAAAGTTGAGCACGCAATCTCTTGAGAGGCTCAAGTGTTTCCACGATTGGCTGAAGACCCACAGACGAACTAAAAAATTAAACATAGCACACCCCACCACTTCATGGAGAAAACGACTACCAATCAAAGAACCTGAAGTTTCGAAGAATAGGAGATTTGTGTAACCCTTATCTATTGTTGTTTAAATATTTTTGTGATTGTACAAGTCAATTTAATGTTCAAATAAATTTACATTTCTTTTTTAATGTGTAAAGTTTGTTGATTGTATTAATACAATTCTTTTAATTAATTTAAAAATAAAGTGGATAAGTGAATCTTATGTGGTATGATTTTTTTTAATAAATGACATACATCAGCTTTAACCGATAAATTATAACTTAGGAAAATTTGATTGCAGTATTTTAAATAGAAGGGGTGATTTGCACTTTATTGCCGACTTGGTTGGAGGTTTCTTTTAATTTAGGGGGTGATTTTCACTGTCGGTGTTAGTTTGGTGGTTGAGTTGGTACTTTTCCCTTCTTTTACTTAATTTTAGTGGAATTAGAGTTTGCACCCTATTTTATTGTCTAAATAAGACTTTGCATCCTGTTTTTATATAAAACTTTGCATTTGCACCACAAGCCCATATGAAAAGAAAAAAAACCCCTCAATCAGGAATATATTGAAAGCCAACAAAATATTCATGAAGGGGCATTTTTCCTTTTCTTACGAGGTTGAGGTGCAAATACAAAGTTTTTATTTAAAAAAACGAGATGCAAATTAAAGTCCAATTTGGACAATAAGATGGGGTGCCAACTCTAATTCCACCTTAATTTTATTTACAGTCATTTGGCCGCCGCCATTTGATATGGTTTTCGGTGGATTTTTCTTAATCACATTTTTTTTAGAGTATGTCCTCAAAATGTTTGCTTAAAGTTCGATCGCTAAGACAGTTAAACAAATTAAGCTGAAATTTTGTTGATATAATCTAAACTACATGAATATGGTCACAAAATTTTATAAAAAAATTCCACCATGAACCACCTCAAACAGCGGCGACCAGCCGACCAGGCAAAGAGTCATGTCCAAACAGTTGAACAGGATAATTTCCTTTCATTTATGTGTGTATATATGTTTCGTATATACTTGTATATGTATAATGTATGTATGATAATCTAAAATAATCGGATAACTAATTCTCTTTCGGCTAAGTACATAGTTGAGTGGATGTTATAATATGTTAAAAATGTTGTCTAAAAACTAATCGTTCTTCAAATAATTAATATCATTAAAGACTTGATTGTGGAGCTGACCAAGGATCTATTGGGCACATACTTGCGAGCACACGAGGATCAGATTGAAAAAGGTTGGTGGATTTAATAAAATACGGAGTATTTGTGATCTTTCGACTGTGTATGTGTGCATTTGCATTTAGTCTAATTTCACTAATTTGTGGTCTGGTTTGGTCTAAATTGATCTGGTAATGTCTAATCTCTTTGTATTTTTATAACCATCTAAATCTAGTCATTTGGGACATATTACAATAGTAAAAACATCCTTAGAATTTTAAGCGAATAGAAAAGGCTATTCCTTGCTAAAAAAGGCTATTCCATTTGACTTGTCTCTCTAAATAGAATGAAACATATTTTTAAGTCTAGGATTTTGGCAAGTTGGTATTTCTTTGCTTGCAGCAGTTACCCAGATTTTTTTCTTCAAAGGGACTAGGGAGTGAATTTTATATCATACGAGATTACGAGGTATTTAAGATGCACCAAAAATGCATAAAAGCTTTAAAGATTTCTTTCCATAAGACATGTAACTTGTGAGAAGACAAATTATACCGTGAGATCGGCCCACTATGAGGATGGTATGCCGATCCCAAAATGGTACAGTTTTATGCTTCCTATATATTAAAAAATAGCAATCGCCGGATCCCCTTCGTCTCCTTCATTCTTTCTTCTCACCATAGAACTTCGTCGCACTCCAGATGTGGGACTAGAAGTCATTCAAAGAGTTCTTCGCATAAAAAAGAATTATGTTTACATACCTGCTTCTCGAATACGAATTGTGCTTCAAATAGACACAGACAAAAGATTATCATGCAATAGCCCCCTTCAAAATATCCGGTTTTCAATTCTGAAATTGATGTATTTTGGATCTGGAGTGCGTATATGTGGGTAAATATAATGTCTTCAAGCTAAATGTTTGTTTTAGTATATATGTATAATGTTTTGAATATGAAAGTTCAGATTCTAATGAAGAAGACTCACCTTTGTTATATGTTCAAGATGACTGCTATGAATTAGTTTAGACCTCCCCTAACTTATCTTACTTACACTCAAGTTACACTAGCATTTGCCGAACGTTACATATCTATTAACGTGAGTTACATGTCAACCTTTTTCATCAAGTTACATCTCACTTACATGTAATTTAGATTTTTTATAATGCGAGTTAGATCACAATATAATTCGAGTTACACAACACAATAAACGCTGCTATTCAAAGAAATATATTTTCATTAAAAACATTTTTATAGATCTGATATTAAAAACAAAACATATACAATATTTATGTAAAATAATTGAGCAATTAGACTTCTTCTTTTTATTATTTATATTGAAATCAATGTTTCATTTCTTATACATTGTATTTGACAAGTTACATTTCAACCGGACTTGAGTTACATCGGTCGATAATGTGAGTTACATTATTTTATACGTGAGTTACATCATTCATGCTACCGGGAAAAGAAACATAGTTACTGTTCACGCGTTACTGTTTACATGATTTTTTTTCAAAAATGCAAAACTACGTCGCTTTGAGATGTGGAACACGGTGCTCACCGTGGTATACGAACTGTGTGAGAATAGCATATAATCACCGTAATCTTGCATTAAATAAGTACTACGTATTTTGTTTTTTAGAAAAATAGAATCAAAATCTATTCAAAAAGTCATTGTCGAGAAAAATACAACCAGGAGGGGAATACGACCAAACTAGACAATAAGACAAAGCATCGGCCGCCCCAGCCAACAAATGAAGAGTATGAATCCTAGATGTCTGACATGGGAGAAAGAAATATAAGTTAAACCAGTCCCAATTTCTCTAATATCATCCGCACGAAGACCACAAGTACTAGCATCACCACCCTTATTTAGCTCACTAAGTGCTGCAAAGCATTAGATTCAAAAGCCAAGAAGTTCCATCTTTCTTTCTTACATTAATTCAAGGCTTCTCTAATACTCCCTCCGTCCCATAAAATTCTTCCAACATTCCTTTTTGGGACGTCCCAGAAAATTCTTCCAACTTCACCTTTTTGATTATTTGTGTGGCTCACATTCATTTCACTTTTTTCTTACACAACTACAACCACACATTTCTATTTTATTTCACTACCTAAATATGTGATCCAACTCAAAGTTGGAAGAATTTTCTGGGACGGAGGGAGTACAAAACAATAATTATGTTTCAAGAGGAGAACATTTTCCATACCACGGTTTCGCCACACCTCCAATGAAGACCTCATCGGGGTCGCGAACTACCTACCCTAAACCACGTACTTCACCTCTTACTGCTGCATCTGTGTTCAATTTCTATTTCTCTTATTCCAGCTTCCTCCACACAGCCAACCCAACATCTGTACTCCCCCACACATGAGATTGCTCCTTTGTGCGTGCTTCCACCCCTCGTAGAGACACTGAGCTTGCTACTCCCCTGCCAATCTTCTCCCTTGCCATACTCTTTTATTCTTCTCACTCCACAATGCCCAACATCCTACCATTAGCTCTGTAATTTCCTCCACTTTGTGCCACTGGTAAACCAGCGAATTTAAAGCCACTCCTGAAAATTGCTAGCATCCATCCCGATCGACTTCCAGCTACCACCTTTCCAACTTTCTCTAGCAACGGGAGAATGAACAAAGAGATGAAGAAGAGATTCGTCTTCAGCTTCACACAAAATGCACTTCTGATCTCTTGAACATCGACCAGTCATTCCTTGAGCCTCTGTGTTGTTGGTAAACAGCCTGTGCAAATCTGCCAAAAAAATATTTAATTTTAGGAAGTAACGGAAAACCCCACATAACCGTCCACCCCATCCACTCATCCTCTAGAAATTCTCCCACTGGTCTTCTATAACAGCTCATAACTGAGAAATTTCTTTTCTTTTTCCCACCTCCAATACAATCTTTCCAATACAACCCTCTTACTCAAAAGAATACTAGAGATCAACGACTCATCTCTCTAGTAAAAAAATTGGCAAGAATGTCGCCATCCCAACTCCCACATGAATTACTAATTAAACCCGCCACTGATGTCTCATCTAAACCCTGAGCATAGGTCTGGATCTTAGGATTAACCTCATCAGGTAACTAAGGTTCGATCAGTCCAAATATTAATGGACTTTCCATTCCCTACTCTCCACTTATAATCCTCCTTTAGAATATTTTAAGTTCAAATAAACTCCTCCAAACATCGGAAGGGTTAGACCAAAGTTTAACGGTAAGAAAGAACCCATTCCGATAGTATCTTGCTTTAAATCTACCCATGAGAAAGTATTCCTCAATCATTAACCTCCACACTTTCTTACTAAGCATAGATAGATTAAAATCCCTAATATCCCCAATTCTTTTAAAGGCCAAACCCCCAACTTTTTTTGTTTACACAAACCCTTGCAATCAGTCCACCTTATCCCTTTGTCTGAGACCTCATTCCTGCGGTAGTCATTCATTGGTATTTCAATCTCCTTACATAGGTTGGGAATGATTCAATCATTGTTTTTAGAAGAACTTCTCACCCTGCTCTAGAAAATAATCCATTATTCCAACATTGCAATCTTTTCACCACCCGCTGCTTAAAAAAACATAGAATATCATTTTTACTTTTCTCCACCGCAGTTGCTAGCCCCAAATAATGCTCCTCACCATCTACCATCCCTACCCCAACATTTCAGACAAACCTTCCCGGTAACTACTACTCATATTTGAACTAAAAGCAACCTTAGATTTATTAAAATTAATTACCTGGCCCGAGGCTTGCTCATAAACATTCAGGACTTCATGAACTACTTTAGCCTCATCATGCGATGCCTCGAAGAATAAAAGTCTTATCATCTGCAAACCACATATGTGAAATTTTAGGCACTCCCCTAGCAACCGTCACGCCATGGTTTCTACCTGCTACCTTCTATCGCCTAATTAATGCACTTAGACCATCCGTAACCAGAATGGACAAATAGAGGGATAACGGGTCACCTTGATGCAAACCCCTAGATGAAGTTATGGGTCCCATATCCATGTCAACAAAGGGAATCATATAGGAGACAGAACTGACACATTCCATCACCAATCGTGTCCACCTATCTGAAAAACCCAGTGATAGTAACATAGCTTCCAAAAATCCCATTCAACCCTATCGAATGCCTTGCTCATGTCCAACTTTTAGCCCACATAACCCATTTTGTCTTGCATCTTTTCTTTCAAAAACTGGTGAGACTCAGAGGCAATAAGAATGTTATCAATAATGGATCGATTATGAACAAAAGCACTTTGACCCTCCCAAATACATTCATGCAATAAACCCTTTATCCTGTTAGGCAACACTTTAACAAAACAATTATAAATGACATTACACAATGAAATCGGCCACCAATCGCCTAACACTTCCGGCCTCTCCTTGGGAATTAGAACAATATTAGTATTATTTATTTTTTCAAGTAAACACATGGATTTAAAAGCACTCATACAAAACTCCACTACTTCTGGCCCAATAACATCCCATAAGGGCTGTAAAACCTACACTCATCCCGTCTAGCCCCGGTGATTTATCTGGATGCATAGATAGCACTACGTCCCTGACCACCTCCACTCGGATCGGGCGCAAAAGCTTCCTATTGAGATAATCTTCAATCTTCTTTTCCACCTGAAATAAGGAGTAATCAAGATTGTCCTGTAATGAAGAAAAAATGTATGTAAAATAGTAATCAATTAATCTCCCCAAAACACCTATATCCTTCTCCCAACAACCCCTGCCACCCGAAGCCCCTCAACACGACTCCTCCTTCCTTTCACAGCATTATGGAAAACGTTTGTGTTGAGATCACTCCCTTTGTACCAGAAAAACTTACCCTGTTGTTTAAAAAAAACTTTGTTGATGTAACAAATCTAAATATTCCACTTTACCCTCTGAAACTCTGCCAACCCCCAAGATTCAGATTGTGGTTAGAGATAATCTTGCATTTTCTTACAAAAACCAATCCACTTGCCAAGACCACTAAACCTGCATTTACCTCAAAAGCTAACTTCCTTTCCACAAGTCGATCTCCAGTTGAGAGACGACTCCTCCCTGCCCATCCAAATTCCAGCTCCTAACTATCGCCTCTCGAAAATCCTCCTCTCTAAGCCAGAGTTTCTCAAATTTCAACCTCCTCTTGCGATTAACCCCTCTAGCCGGACACAACCTAATAAAAAGAGCCAAATGATCATTGGGCGCACCTTCTAGGGAATCGGCCGCCGCCTCCCCAAACATATCCAAACAGTCACCTGAAACCAAAATCCCGTCTAATTTTTCCTTCACCCAGCCAATTTACAGAGCCTCCCCACCGTTCCCATGTAAACTGGTATCCTGAAAAGAAAATTTGATAATCCACAAGCTAAACGGTCTCAAGAAAATCATTCAATAACCAAGGGGTGAGGTACTAGCCGGCTCGCCCCCTCTTCTCCATAGCGAACATGAGATCATTACAGTCACCTGTAACGGACCAAGGAAGATGACATTCAAGGCTCAAAGCTTTTAGCAGCTTCCACGACTCTCTTCATCTACTACGCAGCCTACGCTCCGGATAGTACTACTCTGTATTATGCAAGGAGAAATTGAGAGGAAGAAGATAGACTTAAAACTTAGCAGAAATACTATCTAACCTATCATATGGTCATCATTATTTCATTATTTCCAAACTAAAAAAGTTTGGAAATTCCAAAATAGGACTTCCATGTTTTTATTCCCAAAATGACTAATTACTGTCATGTTTTGGCAGTACCAGACTTCAAACATGTCAGTATTTTCCAAATTTGGCAGTAATTAGTCCTATTTTGGGAATAAAAACATGACAGTCCTATTTTGGAATTTCAAACTTTTTTAGTCCCATTTCGGGACTTTCCCTAATTTTTTTAGTTAAAGAATCCTCCACTGAATAGATCTGTCCCTAATTTTTTTAGAACAATAGAGGAGCTGTGGTGAGCTTAATTTCTTCTTCTTCAAATTTTTAGTCAAGTATATTAGTATAATACCCTTCAGCCCAACCAACCCAAATTCCAGAATCCTCCACTGAATAGATCTGTCCCTTTTTAAGGAAAAAACAGCTCTGTCAAAATAGATTTATCAGCCGCACTTATAACACAGGTTTTGACAAAATAAAATACACTTCACTTTTTATTAAACGCTGCATAATATCAAAAGTGCAGTGCATATATTTCGAACAGAAAATGTACATGTAAGTAGACAGTAGTTGATATTATTTTCAATAAAACTGTTTTACTGTTGTTTATGTTGTAAGGGTCACTTACTATTAAATTTAAAAAGAAATAATTACATATTCATGACTAAAATAAAAATTGTTTACAAAAATGTGACTAGAGTAGTATTGGAATTATGATAACTTATGTTCAAGTTTTAAACTTAAGTTACTATGACGTTAAATGATAGTAACTATTAGTCATATTTGTGTAAATGAGTTTTGTTTTAGTAATACTTTTGAACGAAGCTCGATACAATATATAGGGAATTTTATGTGGACGAAATTTACATACAATTTATATTGAGGAAATGTACAAATATATTACTGAAGTATATGTGGAGGTGCACATATACTCCTGAACTTCTAAAATATGCAAAATACCCATCATGTTCCTATAAAGGAACAAATTTACCCTTATTGACTTTAAATAATTAAAAAAAATAAAAAACAACAAAAATAATTATAAATTTAAAATTCGAAATTGAAAAATAAAAAATAGAAAAATCGACTTGTGTCCAATCCCCTCTTTTCTTAGTTTGATATCACAATTTAATATTGTTGTATAAAAAATGTTTCAAAACTTTACCACGTAGTATATATTTATGGCTTTCGGAAAAGTGTTAACAAATGTGTTGCAATGTGAAAATCATTATTTTTTGTATTCTATGCACTGCAAAATTACATTCTTTGTATGATGATAAATAGTCTAAGACTACAAAGTAGTGAAATTAATTTTATTAAGTTTAAACAAAAAACAAAGAATGTTATTTAAAAAAATGTAACAATGTGTTCGAAATTTCGCAACAAGACTAAAATTAATATTTATGAATTTGAAGTGCTTCATTTACGAGAGAAAAATTAAAATTTTTCAACTTAAAATTAAGGAGTTATCATTTCAACATAAAAAACAAATCTTTGATTTTGACTCCTTAATTTTTAGTATTTCAATTTCGAAATTTAAATTCATAGTTTTTTTCAAAAGACTGATACATGTATTTAAAGTCAATAAGAGTAAATTTGCTCTTTTTTGGGAACATGAGGTTTATGTTTGCACCTTTTACAAGTTTAGGGATATATCTGCACTTCCACATATATTTCATATGTATTTTTTTTTTTTTTTTTTTTTTTTTTTTTTTACTGCAGAACCCTCATCAAGTTTTATTAATAGAAATCAAAAGATACAAATAAGAGGGGGACTATACCAAAACCTCTTAAAGGAAGGCATTCCTTCCTAAAAACATGTGGAAAATAAAAATAAAAGAAATTTTGGGGGGAGTAGACCTGATATTTACACCTTCATATGTATATTTACACCTTTTCCAATCGAGGTATATTTGCATGTTTCCCCAATTTTAATCATGTAAATGCTCAATGCAGGTTTTAATTAACCTATATTTGCATTTTAAACAATGCATCCTAAGTGAACTGATTTTACGATATTAATAGATGTTTTTTTTTAAATGCCAATAGATGTTTTTTAGTTGTGTTTTTTCAAAACGTATTAGTGAAATGAAACTTATTTATAAAATATGATTGATAGTTTTTGCAATCTCATAATGACTTGAGTGTAAAAATGAATGTCACTATAATTACATTATTACTATAGGCACTACACTTAATTTGGAAGACCACATTTTTGCAAACTATAGGCACTACACTTAATTTGGAAGACCACATTTTTGCAAAGAACTTTGTTCTTCTCATCATATATAGAATTACTATGTATTTCTTTTTAGATTTTGATCTCTTTATACATTCGAAATGTTTAATTATTCTCACATTCGGCCACCTTTAATAATACTTCAATTATTATTATTGCATACATATCTTGCATAATCATAGCTCCAGAAAATTATACCACTCAATGAGCTTGGACAGTGGAGACACGTATTCAACTGATTTCATGACGTGGGTTTATTACTTGGATTGTGCACAAATGCATATTAGATAAAGCTTAATTGCATGTTTGATGAGTCAATAATGCATACTACGTAAATGATAAATAGAGTTAAACAGTAAACCTCTGGGCTGAGGATCATCAACAGGGGCAGACCCAGGAAATTGATATTGGGGGCGATAATTTAAACAAAAAAAATCTAGGCGATTATTATTATAAGTTATAACCTTAATATAATACGGAGTAGTAATTAAATGAAGCATTATAATAGAAGAAGAGACAAATATATTATTACAAAATAGTTAAAGTTAGTACCTTAGAATTGTACCCAACGCTTCTTCAACGAGATAAATTCCTCAATCATGACTTTTTAGTCAAAAGTTTTAGCAATTTCTCTTTCAATATAAACAATAAGGTTGTCTGCAACGTACTCATCCTCCATTTTATTGCGAAGCCTTGTTTTTATAATTTTTATTGCGGAAAAAGTCCTTTCGGTTGTTGCTGTCGAAACCGGTAGAGTCAACAAAAGTCGGATCAATTTATCAACAAGCTAAGAAAGTACACTTTTGACATCTCCGTCTCCGCTAATCTTTGGCAAAGTTCACCCATTGTAGAAAAATTCGCCAACTTTGGATGGTTTAGAACATTGAGCTTATAATGTTGTAATTGAAACCTCAAGCTCACCTTCTCCTGCTCAATAAAATCAAAGGGGTAATATTTATCCACTAAAGAACAAATATCATCAATGTTAAAAGACTTGTATGAGTCCTTAGGATCCAAAGCACCACTAAGAGTAAGAAGATCCATTATCTGTTCACCGAATCTGCTATTCAACTCCAACAATTATGAATCTATGACTGCGTAAAACATATCAACCCGATAGTGACCTTCAATATCAAACCCTTCTTGTTCATGGCGTTTGCGTTTTACCGCATAAGGAGACTTCATATTACGAACTTCAATTTCATGCTTTGTGCAAAACTCTTTAACAATTTCTAAGAAGTCATCCCATCCACCCTCCCTTAACTTTTGGATCAACATTTTGGTGCTTGACACCAAATGCATAGCATTTAATATGTCTTGGCACTTCTTCTGTATATGCTGACATAGAAGATCTGTAATGCCCATAATTTCTTTAATAAGATGCAACAAGAAAACAAAATCAAAAGATTTAATCTTCTTAAGTTCTCTAGCTGCATTTCCACGAGTAGAATAGTTATTGCCATTCACTTCAACATCTTCTAAAACAGAACAAGTTGCACCAAACATCCTAATCAAACTGCAAACAGAACTGAAATGTGAGCTCCAACGAGTTTCCCCAGCTTGTTGTAATGTACCAACCTAATTAAGTCCTCTGCTTGTTTCAAGCTCACCAATTTCCAACATTCTTGCAATTTCAAGTGCTTGAGCTTCCTTTAATTCATCACTTCGTTTGCAAGAAGAATTAGTCACATTAATAATAAAGACTGAATCGATGAAAAAATTGTGCACATATTTCACCTCTCTAGAAGCAGCAACCAATGCTAATTGCAATTAGGGGCAAGGAATGGTTTATTAGAATTGATGCTTACATGTTTTAGGGGCAAGGAATGGTTTATTTGATGTGTGATTGTCATGTATTATTGCAATTATACTTCAATTTGAAAACTGTTTCCATGACTAATAAGCCTTATATCGGTTAATGATTTTTTCAATCTTTGACCATTAAAAATTAAAATCATGTGACAATATCATATGTGGATTGATGTTCAAATTTAATGTAACTTATTTTTTTTATATATCCATTAATTAGTGCTGTCTAGTATCATATTTGAAAGACTTGAAGATGAACCAGAAGAAGAGGAGGGGGAGGGGGAAATTTGGGAACCATGTACTGAGATTGAAGAAGAGGAAGAAGAAGAAAAAAGAGAAGATGAAGTAACTGAGCATTCTATAGAAATTAGAGGAGATGCTTATGATGATGATGATGATCATAGCAACATTTTTGAAAATAAAAACAAAACACTGACATTAACACATTAAGAATCTAACCATATTTAGATTAAGTAAGTCAAAATGGTCAGCGGCTATTACATCCAAAAAAGTCAAGTAGTACAAATACATACTCAAAGCTTAAATTGCAAAACGCAGTAAGTTTTCAATGCCTAAAGCTAAAGCATTTGACAATCCATTCTCTGTTGCTACATCCGGTTGAGTACTTGGTGTCTCAATATGACTTCTTGTTCCTTTTTTTTTTAATTTTGGAGAAGGTTATTTGGTTGTTGTTCTTCTCTTTGAAGATGTGACTGATGGATTTATGGACATCATTTGTGTATCTCCAGCATGACAATCCGTTTTATTATTTTATTAGCATGTTTTTAAAATTCATATCAAAAAGGAAAAATTAACTTTACAATCATTATAAAGTATAGCTTGGTCTTTTGTGATTAAATAATCCAACTCATCAACAACTATATATTAACCTATTAGCAAATCAAAACTAATCC